CTATGCCACAGCATCAGTTCCTACAGAGCTGGGGATTGAACACCTGTCTCTAAGGCAGGTGTAAGAGCTTGTGATTTCACTTATTAACTATGACTTCCTTTCTATCCCCGTTCAGCTGAGGAATTGAGATGTCTATGCTTACATCTATAATTATACCTGTAATCATGCAAATATATTTGTTTATTTATAAATAGTGTTCATAGATATAGACAAACACAAATAAGGCTATTTGTGATTATAATATACTACTGGGTATTCTAGCTGTTAGTTTAGTCAGGATTTATATTGGACAAGCCAAGAAAGCTACTAATCTTTTTTTTAAAGATACATTTATTTTGATTGGAAAGGCAGATTTATGGAGAAAAGGGGAGTCAGAAAGATGTTCCGTTTGCTGATTCACGCCACAAGTGACCGCAATGGTAAGAGCCGAGCCAATTTGAAGCCAGGAGCTTCTCCTGGGTCTCCCACACGGATTCAGGAACCCAAGGCTTTGGGCCATCCTCTACTGCTTGCCGAGGCCGCAGGCAGGGAGCTGGATGGGAAGTACAGTGGCTGGGACCCATTCTGGCACCCATAAGGGGATTTCGGCATGTGCAAGGCAAAGATTTAACCACTAAGCCATTGTTCAGGGCTCAGACACTGGTCTTTTTAAATTGTGAATTGCTAACCACATTCTGTACTTCTCAGGAGAACGTGTTCTGGAAAAGATTTTGGTTGGTGTTTATTTGGAAAGCTGCACGTTAGCCTCTTCCTGTTAAAATAGTGTCGGTTATCTTGGCCCTCTCCCACCACAAGGAAACAATCATTTTAAAAGCACTTCATAGGGGCTCACTTTAAGAAATCTCCACAACCATTTCAGGAGACACTCAAAGAGGCAAACTGACCAGCCTCCTGATTGTGTGTGTGTGTGTTGAGCAGAAGAAGTGCTTTACTGCCTATGGTATAATCCTGGGGCGCTGGTGTCTGGAACTCCTCTGTTAGATCATGGATTTTTTTGGCATACCATTTTGCTCCATGTTCAAGGACAAAACCCCTGCAAGGGCTGCCGTGGTAAACCACGCCACTTACTGTAAACAGTTTTATCAGGTGTTTTCAGTAGAAGCAGACTTAGCTGAGGGCTGTGGGGGAAGCATGGAGAGAATAAAGTCTTTGGGGAGTTGGAGGGGCAGTGGTGTTGAAGGACAGACAGGACAAGCCCAAGGGCATAGAGCAGAGGAACTTCCTGCCTATTTTTTTTTTTTTTATCAAGCCAGCTCTAACTCTGGCTGTTTAATTGGATTATCCAAGAAATGAGTTGAATCAGCACTGGCTGCCTTAATGGAACTTCCCATACTTGGCACCAAGAAAATATATTCTGTCTAGTAGAGAGTTTTTCAATCAACAAGTCTGTTCTATTTCTTCTGCCTCCCTTTTGTTCACCTGTGGACTCTTAGAGTGCTTGACTTTAGAGCACAGACTGAAAGCAGGCAGTGATGCTTGCCCTGCTGGAGTCCCCAGGCTCAGGGAAGGGCCACACCAAGCTGCCACTGACTGGCCCTCGAGTTATTCAGACAATTTTTATAAACAATGACATTAAACTCCACGTGCTGAGGCATGAATGCTACCCTCACATGTGGGAATGGGGCAGGCAGCAGAAAACTTGTCAGAAATCTTCCTGGGTCCTGATGAAGGCTTCAAAGGCTTGCAGTGAGGGAGGGTAAAATAGGTGAACCCCAGGGAACCCTGTGTGGGGGTTCTCCCTGCAGAATGCTCTTCTGGGAAAGAGTGGGTAGGGCAGAGCTGTTGCTGAGTAGAGTCTTTTGTCCCTCTTCTTTACATTCCTCTAGCATCTCTGGAATCAATGCAAATGGACCCTCCATGCAAAGGTACCACTTCTTGTTACTGTAGCAACTATCTGAGTCGTTGGCAATGGACATGACCTGATCCGTGGCCTGCTGCTATTTACTGGGAAGTTAGAATGAAGGAAAAGCTCGGCCACGCAGTTTCATGCATTTCACATTCAGAAAACCAGCAGGCCTCTAAAAAAATGGAAATACCTGATAGTTTAGTATTTGTGAAAAGTTACCCAGCATCCTGAAGGTTGCATTACAACATAAACATGTGATTGTGCTTGCGTTTATAGGCTTTGTACTTGACCTCGGTAGCTCTGCTCGCTCTCCATTTCCTCATGTCCTGGTGCTGAGAAAAGTTAGCATTTCTAATTTACATGTCCAAATTGGTTTCAACTTACTTATATTGAATGATAATAGGCTTCTTTTTCTTATAATTAATGTTGTCTGAAAACATAATACAGATTTAACTTATCATTGTAAAGATCTTAAGATTTTAATATTTTTGCAGAGACATAAATACAGTATAGCTATAATTATTTCATTATGTATGTATAAAAATAGGATATGGCAAAAAGTGCATGCTTTCCCTCACTGATTACTCTTAATGTCTCCCAAATTTCCTGATTTACAATATTCTCTAAGGATGTAGATTTTTCTAATTGAAGTACAGTAATTTGCATATTTTTAGACCTTGTTGACACAGTTAATTGATATGTCATTACTTATATCATGCAGAATATAATTTACACTTTTTATTCACGGCAGACCTACAATGCTGTCCTTTTGGGGGAAGAATTAAAGAAAAATGGTCTTCTTTGTCTTGGATTTCCTCTTCTTTTAGCCAGCCCTTGCCCAAGGAAAAGCAAAATGAGTAACAGTGGTTGAATGACAAGGTTTTCTCTTCAGCTAAATACCAACTCTTCACATAATAATCCAATGGCTGACTGCACTGATGCTAACTTGTACATTGTTCCTATCAACTTACTGTTTTCAGAGTTGTTAATACAGTATTATCTCAATTAATCCTCATTGATTGCTTTCTGATGAATTGCATTTATTTGAAAAGTAGAGTGACAGAGAGAGTGGAGATGGCTTCATCTGCTGGCTCACTCCCCAAATAGCCTCAAAGGTTGGCCCCAGATGCCTTTGACTCAAAATCAACACTCTAATATGTATGCTGGCTTCACAAGCAGTGGCTTAACCCCTTACACCATACTCCTGGCCCCAAGACAGAAAGTGATGCTAGTTTTCTTGATTTCCTTTTTCACCAAGGAGCACAGGAAGTCACCAGAGAGCCTGAAGGGCAGATTGGCAAGGGGATTGAAGTGCTGGGGCAGAAGACAACTCTTTTGTCTCCAGGACACTGGTGTCTCCACTCTCCTGAGTAATCCACTGGAGAGGGGAGGGAATGGGATGAGAGGAGCGTGCAGGAAGAACAACTCCCTGAGGAAACAAGGCTCACGCAGCCTTGGGCCAGACTCTCCAGCTGAGAGTGATAAGTCATGCTGTTGCTTGGTGGATGTGCCTGGAAAACTGCAGGCTCCACGGGACAGGGGCATGCTCCCTTTCTGAGAATGTGGGCAGGTTGAGAGCTCCCGAGGTGTTGCACTTAAACATTTTGCTCCTTGCCACTCCCACAGTACTTTCCTCTGTTCGGATGAGGCACTCAGAATTGTTGAATGGATGTATGGCAGTCTCCAGAAGTTGGAAACACAGCCTAATGGTTCTCCTGATGGGTTGTGATTGTATCTGTGCCAGCTGTGGCCACCCCCAGCCGTCCTAATCCTCTATGAGGTAAAATTACTTTTTGCCATTCTCTTTTTCCATCTTTCTGCCTTTTTGAAAGCCCCATTACTCAGGCTGGAGAGTTCGCTTGTTAAAAAGATGGTTGGAGTTGGGCCTAGCATTTACGTTCATTGCTAAAGATGTAGGATCTGCTGTTGGTGAGTTTCCAAGTGTGTGATCCATCCAAGCAGCTGAAAATCACAACAAATGGGGTCCAGAAAGCATGCAAAGGCAAGACATTATCGTATAATGGATAAAGCATTGGCCCGGGAGCGAGACACACTGGGCATGGCTCCAAAGTCTGCCACTTGTCAGCCATGCAACCCCTCGTCCATCAATGCCTGGAACCTGTTTACTTTTCTTCCCGACAGGTTTCTAGTTCAGGTACCCCTCTGAAGGCAGCCCAGAGACCAGAAACACGAACTGCCTTGCCTGGTACCTGGCACTCCCAGGGTGTTATTTTTCTTCTCCCATTTATGTCCAAGCTGTCATTGACCTCATTTCAATGAGTTGTAACTTCCATTCAGGGAACACACACTGCTCCAGTGTTCATTCTGGATGTGGGAATCTGAAACTTTTCTGCCGGTTTGTGCTGAGAACTCTTGAGCACTGCACATGCAGAAGGACCGCTGCCTTTCTTCATCCAGCATCTAGGTGGTCCTTGGGAAACCGCTGAGCTGCCTGATCGAATAGTGTTTGGGGCTGCCTCCTCTGTGAAGCTTTTTCTGTCGGAGGACAATCAACTTGATCTCCAAGGGCTTCCAGCTGTTGATGACTTTTCACCAGCAGTTGGGCAATGCTAGGTATGTGAAGACCATGAGTGCCGAGCACCTGCTGAAGCTTGTACTCATTTCTGGAGGTACAAGCCAGTGGGGCTTACAGATCTCAGGTCAGAAAACCAAGAGTTTGTGAGGGCTTAAGAAATAATAGATAATTATTTCATTTTCACCCAATCATCTCTTGTTGTACCCACTGCTGGGACATTTTTTTAAAAGATGATTTTATTTTTATTAGAAAGGCAGATCAACAGAATGAAGGAGAGACAGAAGAGATCTTTTTATCCACTGGTTCACTCCCCAAATAGCCGCAATAGCTGGAGTTGAATTAATCCAAAGCCAGGAGACAGGAGCCAGAAGCTAGGACCTTCATCTGGGTCTCCCACAAGTGTCCCAAGGCCTTGGGCCATCCTCTACTGCTTTCCCATGCCACAAGCAGGAAGCTGAAAGGAAAACGGAGCAGCCAGGACATGAACTGGCACCCATATGGGATCCTGGGTGTGCAAGGTGAGACTTTAGCCACTACGGTACTGCGCTGGGCTCCACGAGTGAGGCTTGTAACCACCTTTGTGTAATAATATTTTTAAAGAGAGCTTTTTGGCAAAGGAGACCATTCCAGGCCAAAGAGTTCAAAAGTCACACAGCTCTTTGTGGGTAGCTCTGTCTTTCACTTGGGTTACAGCATCATCCACTTTAGACAGGAACCATGTGAGAAAGCATTTGCTAACTGTTCCCATCTTTGTGAACAAAGTAGGGGGTTGCAGGAACAGTATAGAGCAGGTTTGCTGATGGGAACCTGGTGGGAAATGGTGAAAGTCACTGAACTGTTGAGTAAGATGCTTCAGTGGAGACCTCAGGATAGTCTTGTTGGGCATCGTTGGGGAAAATAGACAGTAAAAGTGTTAACCCTACAATTACTACACCAGTAAACTATTAAAAGACACCTAAGTGCTTGGTGTTTAACTGGAGTCAAGGAATTCAAGGTGCTTTCAAACTTATGAACAAGTTGTAGATGAAACCCAGAGTAAGAAAATGAACTCTCCTAGAGACACTCAAATGATGTTGGTGACCAAAGTGGAGTTCTGTCTTGCAGCCAATGCAGCACAAGGATGCCTCATGGAGAGGCGATATTAGGAAGATCTTCCTCACTGTGTCTTGGTTCAATAGCTTTGGCTCAGTCTGTGAAATATATCATGTTCTTTCCCTCACTGGACCTGAGCCTTCAGCCTGGAACAATTGTACCTCCATTCTTTAACTAAGCAACTTCTAGCCATCCCGCAGACCTTATTTTAAATATGCCATCCAGGAAAAAACCCCACTCTAACTTGGATCCTTCATATTATTCTTTATCAAAGGACCCTGGTGCTTATCCTTCATAATATTTGTCACAAGATTGTGATGAAATGATTACTGGCATACTTACATCACAGACCTGCCTCTGCTGGACTCTGAGCTCCTTCTAGTCATGGCATGGATCCCTTTTTTTTAATCCCTTTTGTATAAGGACTAGTACAGTAGCTTTACCATGGTGGCTTCTCAGTTCTCAATTATGACACACTAGATGAGTGAATGAATGGCAACACCATGTAATTATTGATCAAGATGGGAATCTTCGTGGACATCACATGTGCAAACTTCCCTTCCGGGAAGGAAGCTACTGAAAGCAAAGATGTGAAACATCCTAAGCCTTTTACATTACATGGAGAGAAAAGTGACAGTCCTAAGCCGGAAAAGGGGTTTCCTAAACTCCAAGCCAGCAATTTTACTTTGGATAGTTTTAGAGGTCACTTCAATGAATGGTTAAGAGTGCAGATTCTCTGAGGTTTCTTTGAGGCTACTTCAGAAAGTTCATGGATAGATAGAATTAAGAGATAACTTTACTTGGGATGCATTTTAAAAGAATTCCCACATAGATTTTCCTACTCATGTTAGGTATTTTGCATGAACTTTGGAAGTTATAATATTATTCATCATGAGAGAGAATGACATTTCTGTTATTTGTGGTAGCATTGGGTGGAACTGGTGCTTGTCTGGTTAAGTAACATAAGCCAGAAACAGAAAAGTTGACTACTCTCCCCCATGTGTGGAGGCTAAGGAGGTTGACTTTATGGAAGCAGAGAGCAGAACAGCGACCTTTAGGGTTTTGGGAAAGCCTGAGGGATGGACGCTGGAGGAGAAATGGGCACTTGTATGATACCAGGTACTCTCCAGTGTGGTAGTATGGCAATGATTTTTAGCATTTACACCAATTTATGTTTTATGGAGAGCTAGAAGGGTCTGATGGTTCCTGAAACAAGGCAATGATAAATGTATAAGGACATGGAAATACTCATTGTCCTGATTTGATCATGGCAGCTTATATGTGCACACATGCACACATGGTTACCACTCTGTACTTCATAAATATGTACAATCCACAAATGTTGCAATTAAAGGTGAACACAGAAGTAATAAACACGGAAAGAGGACATTCTGGAGTCAGTGTTTATTAGCTATGTGACTATGGGCAAACTAACTCCTTAGCAACTCAGCGTCCTTCTCTATGTGATGGGCATTGAAAAGATGACTTCCCATCACATCGAGAAGAATTAATCAGATGGTCATGAAGAAACAGCATTTCCTAATAAAGCACTTAAAGAAATACCACCCCACAGTGAGTACTCATATAATGCTTGAATCTTCCTTATATGGCCAACTCTAGCAGCTCCATCATCATCAAAAAGGGATTTGCAGATAACAAGGGACAGCATCTCACAGTGCGCAACAAAGGGACGAGCCTTCATGGCATCCTATTGCCTGAAAACTCATAAGTTCCTAGAGAGACAGAGGTTATCTGGGTATGAGGGTTGGCAATGGAAAGTATAGTTAAAGAAATTGCATACCAAATTCTTCTACAAAGAGATAGAAAAAATGCCTCTGGCTGCACATGCAGAAGCAGCCTCAATAGTCACAGCAGGTACTTAATTTTTTGCTAGCAATTAACTACTCTTTCCTTGTCAGCCCTGCCCATGGTTCTGGCCACCAATGGCATTGAATGGATTATAAAAGCAGTCGTGCCCCACACAAAAGGACAACGTACTCCAAGTGCACACTAACTTCTCTGCAACCTACACCTAGACTGTAAGGCTCTCACCCAGACGCTCTGAGCAATGGCGATGGGTGTCTGGGTCCTTCCTTACTGCGCACAATGCAACCACTCTATGACTCTTACCTGCATGAATACCAAGTTAGCACTGTTAGGGAGATTCTCTTTAAAGGGAAGAACGCTGAGGCCCAGAAAATGGGATGAAAGGGCCCAAAGTCATGCAGGGATGCTGTGGTACATGCGGTACATGCTGTGGTCTGATCCGGAAAAGCCCACAATCTTAACTGAGCAGTCCTGCCCAGTGAGAGGCAGAGCTAGCAGGTGACAGGTGGAATTGTATGAAGTCCAGATATCCAGCTCTGTGTTTGCTTGACTCGAACTTGGTGCATTTGCAGAAGACTCTTCTTTGGATTGCAGGATATGTGGCACTACACCTATGTGCTTGTCTGCTTTTGTTCTCTTGTTTGCCTTTTCAATTTCTTCCTTCCTTCTTCCTACCTCCTCTCTGCCCCACAAAAGGCTGAAGTCCCATGCGCACACAGTACACGCAGGCAGTAATGAGCGTGTCTAGCAGAAGCATCAACGAACCAACTTGTTGCATATGACAAGCCAGGGATTTAAAACGTTAGCCACCTCCAGCCCCCCAGGATCCCCGACTCTTCTCATCCTCCCCTCAGGATCTGTAGACAGAATGGGATTCTGGGTAGATTCTTCGCAGAGAGAATTTTGACTGTTTTCGTGGAGGGAACTGGATAAATATTCGAAACACTGAAAGAAAGCTATGTTCTCAAATAAAAACCAAACAAAGCAAAAGCCAAACAAAACAGCTCTGCAGAAGTAGTCTCTCCAGCTATCAACATGCAATCAATTAGCTGAACCAAGAGCCTGATCTTGACACTGAGCCTTGGCGACTGTTCTAAGTTGCTGCTTGGATTGGTGAGGGGATAGGTACTAGGTCAGTTGTCCCTCCCTGCAGAGAGGGCTGTGGCTTTGTATGGACTGTGCCTATTTGGGGTGCTGTATTTGCCCAGAAGAATATTTCTGGAGCACTGAAAGTGTGGAAAATTCCAAGATGAGCTGTGTAAATATGGGCCAGAGTTAGACTTGATGTTTGAAGTTGAGAAAATTATCCCTGTCTCTGTTTCTCGGGTATATGGCTTACGAATTTTAATGACTTTGGAATTACATTGTGACAGGTTGAATTTTTTAATTTATTTTATTTTTTTGTGGAGGATGGTGAAGGACATAATTACCCAAGTTTCAGGATATATCTCAAATTTCACAAGGGAAAATGTCAACATTTGGTCCATCTGATGATTTCATTTTATATGTGTGAAAACAGAGGCAAATGTCTGTATTTGAGGAGAGTAATTGTATAGATCTGTGTCTGTTCTTTCCTTGAACACACTGTTAAAATAATAATTAAGCCTCAGCACCTGTTAGCAAGCAGCATCCTCTTCTAGGCCTTGCGCCATGTCTGCAGGAGCATGGCTGGAGGGCAGGAGGAATTCCTAGTTCTTCCTAAGTTGTTGCTTATTCTCCCTTCCACCCCTGATCTTCTTAATTTTTTTTTCTTTTTCTGCCTCCCTTCCTCTCCCCCTCACGTCTCTTTTGTCATTTCCCTTTGGGAGAAAGCTCTTTCTTGACTGAAGAAGGCGATTGTTCCTGGAATGTCTCTGATGTGCTTTGGGATTTAGCATCTCATTGTATGTTTCTTGAACCTCCTGGAATTTCAAGTTGGTGCTGAAGGACAAGGAACAAACGAACAGGGCAAGTTGTCACTGGCACCAAGAGCATCGTCAAGTTCATCATCCCTGGGCTCAGGCGGCACAGAGGGTGTTCTCTAGCTAACCAGCCACATGTGTTGAACGCCTGCTGCTGTAAAGTGCACATGCACACAGAGGCATGTCCTGGGGAGGTTCTCTGAGGAATGTTATGGCATTGGTAGTTGCCAGATTATCATATCTCACCCAGTACTAGGCAAGGACCAAACACCTGGTCAGCACTCTTGCAAGCCTCTTTAGCAATTTCAGAGGTCTTAGATGACTCACAGGGGAGGCGAGGCAGAGGAATACTCATCACTGAACCATCTGTTGTCTTACCAGAAAATGTAATATTTTTTAACCAGTAAATTTACATATTCTCCTTTGGTGGTCAGCTTTCTAATGATCAAACTTGGGCTAAATAAAGCAACAAATTCCAGTGACATACTTAACAAACATGTTCTTATGCCCAATATTTAGTAGCAACTATTATTGTTGTGTGCTGGTTTCCTATCTGTTGACTACCTATAATTTTTATCCTACCAATTCCAAATAGTGGGACAAACTTATATGGTACCGTGTTTCACCTGATGCTCTCACAAGGTAGACAACTAAGAAAGATGGTGGAACAATGTCAGTGAGCATGCTTTTTAGTGATACAGCAAAGGGAAATTCAGAAGCGGTTTTGATATCTGCGTTTTCTCTGTTATTTTTCACACCCAGTGTTATGTACATGAAATTTCATATCTTTTCCTCAGTTCGCAAAGTGATCATTTCCCAGAAGCTAGACTCCTGTAACATGTCATTAAAAATACATTTCTGCGAGACGAGGCACTAAGTTGAATCTTGCATTTTTCCTTTTATCGCAAGCAGATCCTTTTCAAGATCAGATGCTCCTGATACAGGTAACAAGGTCATTGAAGAGAGAATGAGAGAGCTGAGCATGGGACGAATACACCGCACACAGGACGAGCTTTTTCTAGCTCAGAATGCTGCACCCCTCGCTGCAAATTGATTCTGAGAATAAACGTGGCTTTTCTGCAGTCTAGTGCCTCACAGAGAACTGGGAGCAGCCCGGGTGACCAGTGACCATCACAAGGCTCTTTTCAAACCCTTGAAGAAAGTGCCTAACTTGGATCCCACTTCCTTTCTCTGGTCTGCAGCTGAAGAGCAATGCTCCCTTGTAAAGGGGTAGGGGATCAAGGCACAGTGACGAACAGCACTTGTGCCTCTGTGCACTCACCTCTTTCCTGGGATGGTAGGGTCCCTACCTGAAGCGGGTGACAATACATTCTGCATGCTTGGAGCAGCCTCTGGCACTTGGGGAATTCTGTGGCAGCATCTGCTCCTGCGGTGGCTGTGCCTGCCACCAGAGAGAGAGTCTTTCTTCCTGTGTGCCAGGCACTTGAGAGATGCTTTATATCAAACATGTCGTCTGTTCTCACTTCCGTCTGGGTCTCTCTGCTTCATTTCCACTTGGAGTTGTCCCTTTGGAAAAGCGGTGCCTGAGCTGTTTTACCTTTTCAGCAGTTCTCAAAGCTTGAGGTCATTTGTGCTGTTTGGTTGTGTGGGTCATGTTCATGCCTTCAGCCCCGCGCTGGGGACTTCAGTTCACAGAGAGCCAGTACTGTCTGTCTGGCATTGTGACACGTTGTTCCCAGTGCTTAGCCTGGCCTTTCCTTGGTGCTCATTCGTGTTAACTTCCTTGCTTTGATGATTCAGCAGTGTGGTTCCCCATAGCTCGAATTATTGCCTAGTTAACTTCATTTTTACATTCTCTCTATGCCCTTCCATCCACCCTTCATATTTGTCTTATAATAAGGCACCTAGAACTGAGCACTGTTAACCACGTATGATCTGGTCAGCGCAGAGGACTCTGTATATGTTCCTTTTCAGGAAAATGAACCCACACCTTGTTTTGTCAAGGGAACTTTTCAGTGGCTTTTTTCCCATTGCTGTTTCAGCCGTGTGGCTCACGCGTTAACTACTGGCCAGTGACACTCTCTGAATCCAGCTTGTCTTATGTAGTTGCAGTTGACTATGCTGGGCTTTGCCTTGATCCTTGTTAAATTAAGTTTTCCTGGTTTTGGGTCCAAGTTTCTGTTTGCTCAGCTCTCTTAGAACTTTGTTTCTGATATCTAATGTATGTGCTCTCTCTTACCTTCATTTTCACTCATTCCCTCTAAGCTGCATGATTTATAGGCCTTCTTCCAAGGAGCTGGCAAACACGGGGAGCCATGAAGAGCCGGTGGCACGCAGTGTAGATCTCCTGTATGGAACTTCAGGAAAACAAAAACAAAACACAAACAGAACAGATCAGAATGGCTTAGTTAAACACTACTATTAACTAAATGCCTAGCTCTGTGAATTTTTTTCTAAGATTTTTAAAATCAATTGTCAATTTAATCTTCCCCAAACCTATAATGCCACCACCCCAACAGTCATGACTGCTTAGTCAAAAACTATTAGGACCAATGAAATCAGTTCTACCTGCTGGGCCCAAGGATGGACATTTGTAGATGCTATTAAGGATACCAGGACTCCCAAGAGTAAGTGACCAAGGGAATTTTTCTCACGATCAGAGCTTTTTTTTTTTTGGCTGATGAGTTCTTGTAAGTCACACTTCCTCAACAGCTGAGATTCCAAGATATTCCAAGGGGAAGAGATAAAGTTAGTCAGAATGCAAGTAATGCCATATTTTTCTGAATGCAGGCAAAAGGATAATTTTAGATATTATACAAATGAATACATCCATTTTATCCATTTTAATTTTCAGCCATGTAGAAAAAGTGTTTCTAAAACAATGGTCATGTGGTTATTATTGCCTAGGATTGGGCAATGCGAAAATTGGAGTCAAATTTCATTGAAAGAAACAGTAAATAACAGCATAGACAGTTTACAAGTTAGCAAGGATCGGAACAGTGATCCACACGTGAATTTGTGGGAAGAATGCAAGGTAAATTAGAAATGTGATGTGCCACATGCATGTGAGACTGCAAATTTTCCATGCCCATTATGGGTCATGAGGTCAGAGCGGGTGGCAGTCATTCCTCCACAGGAGGCAGAATGCATGATTGGTATAGTCAGACAAGCCCAGCTTTGATTTTTAGGTAAAAATCTTTCTTTTTACCATAGCAAAAAAAAAAAATAATACTACTACTTAAGACAAGGCTGACTCTTAAATTCCATTTTTGCAGTGACACTGTGTTTCGCAGTATACTGGCTGGATTTTGCTGTGTAACAATCTATTGCAGGGCGTTAGTGGTTAAAGCAGCAGCCACTTACTTAACTCAAGGTTCTGTGGCTCTGCAATTTGGCCTTATCTCATCTGGCCATCCACGTCTTCCACTCATATAGGCAGTGAGGTGATGATTGGCAAGGCAATGTCCTGTTTGTGGCATGGTAGGCTGTTCTCTGTGGTGATGGACGATGCTGGGGCCGTGAAGCTTTCATGATCCAGCAGGCCAGCATGGGGTGACTTTCATGGCAAAGAGCCTAAAAGAGAAGGCATGGAAAATGCAAGACCACTTGAACTTCAGGACTGGCAGAACACTGTTTCTGGTACATAAGTTGGTCAAAGTAAGTCCCAAGGCTGGTTCCGATGCAAGAGGAAAAACAATCTCCAGATGGCTTGAGTTAAAAAGTTACCTTGCGAGAGGGGATTGCTACGGGGAGGAAAGCTGTAGGGCCATTTTTTGCAATCTTTTACAACCACTTGGCAAATATGTCACCTTGACAAGTTACTCCACTTCTGTAGATTGTGGTAGCCTTGTGTATAAAAGGAGATAATATACTAACCCTTCAGCTCTCACAGTTGTAACCATTCCACACAAATCAGAGATGTCACAAATGGGACGTAATGCTAGAATTTACCGCATGAAGAGATGGGCAGAGGCAAGAGCAGTGTGAACTGCGTAGTCCAATCTTGGTACAAAGAAAGAACCCGTAAGTGGCAGTGGCTCTTTTATTTTTAATTTAGAGAAAGAAATGAAGATAAGCTAAAGCGGGAGAATCCCGAGTAGGTTCTGATTTAAAAAGAAACCAAAGCAAGAAACAAAACAAACCCATCGTGGTGAAATATGAGCTTATACCCAAATCTGAATCTGTTTTGTTCTAGAACGCATTTGTTCATCAGCACTTGACGGCTTTTGGAATCGTTTATTTTTATTGTCTAACAAAGGGCACTTTGTCGAGTGCTTCATTATCTGTAGAAGTGCTTTAGCATTTGCACCAAAATTCTGTGCTCAAATGCTGGCACTGACCATACCTCTTAGTGATAATTTCCAAGTTAAGTGTTATGCATCAGGTAAATGATTGTGCATATAAATGGTCATTGTAGGTTGTGCATTAGCAGGTAGAAATGGACAACCTTTTTCAAGAAATATGTAACGCTCTCCCCCTCCGAAGTTAACTACTGCTTCAACTAAGATTGTAGTGCACGCTAGTATGTTGTACAAAGTTGGAGTAAAAAGAATCATAAAGATTTTGAAAATGTTAGCTCTTTCAGGAGAGATCTCAGCACTTTGTTTTCCTCCTATTGCGCAGTTTCATATATGTTTACGGTGCTATTTGGCTAATCCTGATAAAATCACAAAAGACAATATGCCTTAGGAACATGTAGCTCTCACTCACTGTAGGTACTGTTCCTGAGTGCAGCCACCTAGGGATCATAAAAGCACATAGTCCCCTCTAGCCTGAATGCTCCTGTGCTGGCTGTTTTCCTGCCCTAGGCTCTGGAGGGATTTTACTGGACTCTTCATGAGCTGAAGGCAGTAGGTGCTTAATAAGTGCATATTGAAATGAATACCGAGTGAATAGTGGTTTAGGGAGAACAGTTAGATCTCATTTACAAAGCTTATCCCTTTCCTCAAATCTTCTCACCAAGATGTTTTCCGTTGTTCTGTCTTTACCTTACAGTAATTAGGCATACTGTGTATAGAACAGTATTGTAAGAAGACTAACTTAAGACATACAGAAGAAGCAATTACTTCACAAGGTAACCTTTAAAATTGCAGATGATTTTTGGGAAAAGCAATCTGTACCATCGTCTTTAAGTGATGGCTCACTCGTGCCTACACCTGTCAGGGAACCACTCAGATGTCATCGTAGTGACCATTTTACCTGTTGTTTCCTTTTGTAAGCAGGCTAACTCCTTGAGGATGGAAAAACTGTGGCTTGGCACTTGTAAACATGTCATCTCTCTGAGTTCTTGGCATCTACTAGGCAATAAGATGTCCAAGAACTCTCTGATGGACTCAAGGCACTGCCAAGCCCTGTCTTCAGGAATTTACCATCTGGTGTTGAGACAGAAGAGAATCACAAAGGTGGCCTTTGAAGATCTATTTCTGAAAATCACAGCAACCTCTGCCCAACTTATGTAGAAAATGTGTAAAAAGGGTCATACTATTCACATGTTGGTGACTTGAGATATGTGTCTTATATTCCTCACCTTGGGCCTGTGTCTTTTGACTCTGTCTCCTGGTTGCAGTTCTGTCATTTCCATGTGATTCTGTATGCTGACATTATTATTAGTAATTATTATTATTTTTCTTAACCTGGGGTCATGCCTCACTGAGAAGCTTATGAAATACTGTTCCCTGTGTTTTATGTGACTTTACATACTCCAAGTATTCAGGAAATAAAATTTTAAGTGAATAGATAAGAGATTCTTTCTTCTGGCTTTGAATGCTTTCTAGTTCTTTGTTGCCTCCACTTCATAATTTTCCTGATCTTTCTCTGCCTTTAAGAAACATCATAGAGTTCCCCTTTATCTACCCCATATTTCAGGATGATTCTGAAGTCATGGCCCCACTTATCTCCTATTGCACAGTTTTTTTTGTTGCATGGAGGGACTCTTGGAGTGATAGAATGTCAAAAAAGTGAGCTGTATAATAAGGCATCCTGCAAATGGAAATAAAACAGCCAGCTAACAAGGAAATTCTGTTGTGTGTTAGCACTTCCATAGGTACTGGAGATGAGCAGTGCATTGTAGGGATTCAGAGTGGGAAGAACAGATCTTCAGAATGCCCGGAGCTGTGCTGGGTCTGGCTGCAAGGAGTGTTTTTGTTTGTTTATTTTGTTTTGTTTTTTAATAGAGAGTCGGAGTCCCAGGCGAGCAATGCTCACAACTTGGGGTGATGATGGTGAAGGTTAAGTCATCCTGATGGTTATGTTTCTAGTTGGCATCCCAGAGTGGTTGCAATTTGAGGATGGTCAGTTGACTCTATGCTCATGATTTCTAAACTCCAAAAGGCCCCAGGGGATGTGGGGATGACATGCAGTCATTACTGCAGTGGCAACGTAAGTGAGATTCCAGAGGTTCCTGTGTTCTCTTTGGGCTAGGCAAACTAGGAATAGGATTAGAAATAATTCCAAGGTTGTTTTATTATTTGTGGCTAGCTTTGAGCCATTAGCTAAATATCCTACAGAAGAAACACAACAAAAGGAGAAGAAAGAAAAAGCACCAGAAATTAGAAGAAGCTTAATGGTTGTTATCACATATCTTCGGGCAGAGAGCAGGGATGAGCTTCCTGACTCCCAGGGGGACTTTCCATTTTCTCCAGTAAATAATACTGGGTTCTCCCCATAATTGCTTGATTCACTGGAATAGCTCCTTGGGATCCATTTCACTCTATTGGGTAAATGATATGT